TAAGCTGACCCTGAGAGTACTTAGAATAAGTGAAAAACTATAGAATTAATTTTAGAATCAACATTTTATTTGGTAGTGATAAAGTGAAATTAGAACACTTAAGGATTTGAAGAAACAGGACTACATATTATGATCTTAAATTTTTCTGATCTCTTAGCATTTCAATACATATAATTTTACATATTTCAACATTTAAAAAAATTAACTATAGGCTTCCTCTTTACATCAAAGTGGTCAAAGCGACACAATGAGAAGTTTAATCAATAGGAGTAACTACCCTTGACATCAATGCCATGATTTCAATATCCACCTTGGGTCAGTGACAAAAGCTAGAAGACTTTAAAGGTATTTCACTACAGTTTAAAAACTCAAGATGACATTAGCACATTAATAATACAAATATTACAGACAAGTCAGAGCAATACGAAATTACAATCATACTAATCTCATAAGTTATCAACAATTTATATCCACAAGGACACTATCAGAATGCACCTGGGGTATTCAAAGTTAACACTGTTCTAGTGAAAAAAAATTACAGACATGAAAACAATCCTTCTAAATAAGCCTGGAAAAACAATTAAATGGGCATCTCCAATAAATATCACACTAATCCACTACGTGAAATAAAATACTTTGTTGACAAAAAAGAAAATGAGAGTTCTTGGTATTAAGGGGATGTAAGGCATCACCTGTCTTGAATGTCCAAAAAGAAAGAAAGAAATTGAGGAACTGAAAAATAATGCCTTTGGGAATGAGCCATATGGCATAGTACAGTGTTTTCCAAAATGTGGTCCATGAGTACATGAGATTGTTCTTTATGAGGAGATGAAAAAAGTGTGTGTGTATGTATAATCTATTTATGGCTGATGATACTGATGTTTCTCTTCTGGTAGCAATTTAATTTTTGGTTTTTAATAGATGTATCTAATATTAAAAAAATGACTCTATTTAAGATGCAAGTAGAGCCCCTCCATCAACTCCATGCCATGAGGTGACTGGCCTCCAGAAGTTCGGTGAAAATATTTAGGTTTATGTCTTGATTTAATCTCTGCACTGAGGAAGACCAAGCACTGGTAATGTCAATACCATATGAAAGGAGGATTAATTGAATTAGTACAAGACATACCAACTGTCATCCCCTACTCATCTCCTAGGAGCCAGGCATTCATCTGCTGGGCGGGAAGCTAGAGAACTCTTCTTTAAAAATATGACCAGCCCAAGGGGAAAAACAAAGATACTAAACATCAGAGAGTCCCCAGTTAAAAAGCCCAGAAGGTGACTCTATATTGAAGTCAACAAGACCTACGTATACATTCAAGCCAGCGTTTTATCCTCAGAATTTAAACATGAATAAGCATCCAAACATTATCGGACATTGAGAACAGCTTCTAAAATGAATGACATAGACAAAAACGAAACAGTAGCTTAGAAACAGTGGCTAAATAGAGACAAATTTTAAAAAATTAGTACCTTTAGAAAGAGATAAAGAGATATAATCAAGAAATAAAGTATGATACTATGAAAAGATACAGGAAAGTTATTAGAAGTTCTTGAAAATTACAACTATAATGGCAGAAATGAAAAGTAATAGATAAGGGGGAAGATGAAATTCAGAGTCGAACAAAAAAGTCCAAAATGTGAAAAAGGAGAAGAGAGGAGGAGATAATCATAAATAAAAAAATTGAAAAAATTTTGCCAGAACTGAATAACATGAATGTTCAGATTGAAAAGGACCACCAAGGTCCCAGCACAATGTATGAAAATAGGCCTCTATCAAGACACAACAACATAAATTTGAAGAAACTGGGATTTAAAGCATTCTATAAACTTTCAGAGAGAAAAATAAATCACATAAGGACACATACAAAGGATCAGCAATCAGAATGGTGTATGACTTTTCCATAGCAATCCTGCAAACTAGAAGATAATGAAGTAAGCCTTTCAAAATTCTAAATAAAATTATTTCCAAACCAAAGTCTGTACCTATCCAACTACCAAACAACTAATAATTAAATTCTTTCTCAGACACATAGGAGCTCATTTACCATTTGTTAGGAGGTTACTGGAAGTTGTGTTCAAGCAAATTAAGAAAGAATTTAAGACACTGATCCAAGGATCAGGAAAGCCAATATAAGAACACCCCAGGATGATGGCAAAAGGAGATCCCACGGTGGGAGCTGACCTAAGGGCACTGAGTCCAGACTGGAGCAGGTCAGAGTGCTCTGAGAGATTTCTTTAAGAAAATGTCTGATCCTTAAATCCAGTAAGTATTATAGATAAGAGAGATAATCACAGCTTACTATATGGCTAGATTTGAATAGCATATATAAATATACACACACACACATGCATGCTTTGAGTAAATGGTCTACCAAAATTAAAATTTAACTATTAGCTTGCTCTGGCCAGGTGGTTCAGGTGGTGGGAGCACTGTCCTGTACACCAAAAGGTTGTGGGTTTGATTCCTGCCAGGGCACATACCCAGGTTGTGGGTTCAACCTTCTTGGGACTCATGTTTCTCCTTCTTTCACTTTATCCCTCCCTCTCTCCCTTGCACTCTCTCTCTCTAAAAATCAATACATATCCTTAGGTGAGAATTAAAGAGAGAGAGAGAGAGAGAGAGAGAGAGAGAGTGTGTGTGTGTGTGTGTGTGTGTGTTTGTGTGTGTGTGTTTGAAACATGAAATCGTTTTTGGAGACTGCAACCTGCATACAGCGTAGTCTAGCACTCTAGGAGCATAAGGGATGGAAAGCGGTGAGTGCATGGGCATGCATACGCATGTGTGGTAGGGACCAGAAAGGGGGTCATGATAAGATAATTCTTAGAACTAAAGTAATCAAAAATGTTAAAATACTTAGTATTTTTGAAGACATGGAAGTCAATTATCAAAATAATAGGGAGAAAAAGGCAAAAGTCATTGCCTCTGAGGAGAGGTTCATTGGATTAGAGGGAAGTTAAGGACTTTTTTTTTTTTAAATAACAAACTTGCTGAACTATTTGACTCTATACTACTATATAAAAAAGAGGACAATGGTGGAAAGAAGGGGAAGGGACTAGACAAGGAACATGTATGAATGACCCATGGACATGGACGACAGAGTGGGAACTGACTGTGGGAGTGGGGGGTGGGGGTGGGATGGGTGGAGGGAGGTAAAGGGGGAAAAACTGAAACAACTGTAATAGAATAAACATAATTTATAAATTAAAAACAAATAAAAATAGGGAGTGCTTTAAAATTTAAAACATAATAAAATAAAATATTCTCACTTTCTAGTGAGGGAATAAAAACCACAATGAGCCCTAGCTGGTGTGGCTCAGTGGATTGAGTTCCGGCCTGAGAACAAAAGGGTTACCAGTTCGATTGCCAATGTAGGGCATATGCCTGGGTTGCAGGCCAGGTTCCCAGTGGGGGGCACATGAAATGCAACCCCACATTAATGTTTCTCACCCTCTCTCTCTCCCTCTATTAAAAAAAAAAAAAAAGATCTTTAGTAATCATCTGATGATATCTAAATTCAATTAAAAGTTTTTTTAAAAAAGAAGAAACGGAGGGAGAAAGAAAAGAGTCCCAGACAGAGGGCCAGATATATTTCCTATAGACATTTAAATGTCTCAAAAGGGTACTTTCTGGAGATAAGCATGATGTCCACCACATTACTGTGAGAGACAGACACTTCCAAGGCCAGTCTTCATCCACAGATGAGACACAAACACTGCCCTCGTTCTCCACTTGGTTTTTGGGTGACATGTCATAAGCTACCCTTTTCTGAATAATGTTTATAGAGTCTTGAAATCAGTGATGACATCAGTAACAGCAGAGGCTTTTAAAACACCATTTTGTGGAGACTCATTTTTAATGATGAAAAAGAAAGCTGAGAAGGCTAAAAAACATAATTGAAACATATGAAACATTTGTTTTTATTGATCACAATATAGTTCAACATAATAACCTGCGTTAAGTTACTCTGTGTGTGTGTGCGCGTGTGTGTGTTAGAAGAGGCATGTGCTACGATTAAAAAAAAAAGACATCAGTTGTCTATTTACCCTGAGACTCAAAGACCCTTCATGATTCTTAGCATGCCCCCTGCCAAGCCTACCTCTGTCTCCTGGAAAGAATAAAACTTTGAATCCCTCTGCGTATCATTTAGGAAAAGATATCCCTCTCCCTAACTGCTTATTTATAATTGAAAGAGCAACATTTGCTAAAAATTCTTCTTGATACTAAGAAATTACAGGCAAATCTCAAATTTCAAAATACTTCCCTACATGATCTTTCTCACTTATTTTCTCACCGCTCTTTAGAAGAAATGACAGACCAATGTGTTCACAACCCACATGCATAACTATCAGCTGGCATGAATAGCATTATTTTGTCAGTATCTTTCAAAAAAAGCCAAGTGTCGAATATGAATAAGCCCTGTAGTAAACATGTGATGAGGAATTCATTCTCAATTTTTTGAACGGAATGAATCAGATCTCCAGAACTTTAAGATAATTTAATTTTCATTAAACAGTATTTATCAGTCACCCAGGCACTTTCTAAAATATCACAAAGGCAAAATTTCTGCCTGTACGATATAGCCATCTTCTCCTTTATTAAGAAGTGCTGTGAATCACTTACATAAAAATATGTTTGCTGACATTTCAATATGAAAAAAATAAGAAGCTGAGATAAAGAATAGGGAGGGGCGAGGAGGAGGTTAAAACTTAGGGTGTTCAAGTCCAGAAACAAATGCTCTTCTTAAGAGTTAAGAGGCACTTGCAGAATGGGAATTATTGTTTGAATATTTACCTTTGTATCCCCTATAGTCCAGCACAAAAAGAACCTAGAATACCCAGGAAATGCTCAAGAAACATTTGCTGAATTAACCTACAAGCTGAACTAGGCCTATCATAGCACCTATTGTGCCAGAAATATAATCCAAGTCCTCTTTGAACACAGCCATGTCTCCACGATGAAAGGCACAGCATCTTCTCTGAGAATAGCAGCTCCTTACCTGTTGTTGTACTGGTACTTGCTGTACCACCTGTGTAGGCACTGCTGCTTGACTAGCCACAGATGTCTGTAAAGTCACTGTCGAACCTGTGTCCGACCCAGTCTCTGATGTCTGCATGATGGTCTCTGAAATAGTAAAACAGAAAAAGTTCAAAATGCTCCCTTTGCATGGCTAGTGGCGTCATTACATTTGTTCTCAATATCCTATACTGATACTTTCAACTCTCAGAATACTTCTTACTCCAGTATACTGTCATGATATTCCATACATATTTATAGTTATTTTGACCACTTTTTAAATATAGAAAATTACTAATCCATATTTTTTTTAATTCCCATTAGCACCTCTTATTATTATCTTGAGATTATAAAGGCTGAACGGCATTGAAATCTACCTTCCTTAGTTAGGTCTCATCTGTTATAAATTGTTTCAACTATTTATAAACTATAGCCCAAAATTATGTCAAGCTAGTCAATTCTCAGAACAGAAATCTTAACTGCAAATATGTCATAAACTATACTTTCTAGACCCTTTTATAGACTAGTAGGATGTCGCCAGAGGTGTACAATTTAGGAAAAACTATTTCTAAGGTTTTTCCAACTTTCAAACTTGCTATTCACTAATCTAAAAAGTTAGTATATATCCAAAAAACAACTGATATACCCTAAACTTAGCCAAAGGATCAAGCTCACTAATTTTCTGTGATATATGGTCCTAAAACCAAAGTTCAATTCTATTTTTACATAGGAATAGCAAATCATCAATAATGTTTAATATTTTCAAAGATGGATTAAGACCACTGTTATATAAATGAGATTTGTAAACAAAGACATGAAATATTTTCTTTTGTCATTCACAATTCAAAGCAGCACTTTTCTCAGTTCTCATGTGCCTGACCTACTAATACAGGATTAAATTTTGCAGCATGTACTCTTAACAAGTGTGCTTTCTCAGATCTCCTGGCCTTGACATTCCCTTGTGCTACCTGCACGCTCAATAGAACAAATATTAATTTTTTTGCTATTGAGCAGGGACAAGAATTCTAATTTTCTTTCCTGGGGAAAACAATATTTAACTGGAGAGTAAGAAAAATACTGCATTATGATTTAAATCTATGAGCAATATGGTAAATATTAATTTTCTCTAAGAAAATTCTGAAAGCATATTCAGTTCTTTCAAGTAGAAAATTAACCCCTCTCAGTATCTTTTGTTACCCGAACCTTTTCTATCATCCCAATCAATTTTACCAATGGACCTCAGAAGACATCTAATCTACTCTTCTATTTTATAAATAAGGAAACTAAAGCCTAAAGAGGTTAAGAGATTTGCTCAAGGTGAAAGGAGCAGACATGGGATTAGGCCTCTTCACTTTGCATCTGTGCTTATTTTTCTTTCTAGTCCTTGACATTGGCATCACTTTAGGTGATTATTCTTATTATTTTACTGGTCAAAACCCTAAAGCAGCATTATAAGCATTAGCACATACAAAAGATATAGTGGTAACAGCTAACATTGACTTAGTGTTTAACATATGCTAAGGACTCTTCTAAATGCTTTACATGTTAATTCATAAATAAATTAGCCTATGTAGCAATCCAATATTGCTGGTATGATTATAAACTCCATTTACAGAGGAGGAACCTCAGGCACACAGAGTGAAAAAGGTGCCCAGGGGCTTCAACAGAAGGAATGTGATGGGGACTATAGCCACAACCCCATTTATTTGGGTCAGCTCATGTTCAACTCCACAACACTGTGAATTACAATGTAGGAAGGCTACTTGCCTTAGCTGCCAGTTCTTCCAATTTTCCAAAAGAAGCTAAAATTTTTTACATGAAACATCTCAAATGGTAGCTCATTTAAAAACAAAAACATAGCATTGCTCTCCATTCACACACACATAAACACACACCACTTTGAATAGTGTTAAGAACACAAAATACTAAAAAATGTTTGAGAACGACATTATTTGCTACATAAAACTCGCATAATTAAGATTACTGAAAGACCATGATTCTCAAAATTTGGGGAAGGGATACACATATTAGGAACCCTATCTGTGCTGCTTCCTCTTTATTCCATCATAGAGGGGAAAAGAACACCCCCCCTCAAAAAAGCAAAAGACAGCATCCTTTGATTTATTACATACTTATAGATTATCGATGCCATTTGTGCTACAGCGGAGGAGCTATTAGTGAGAGTAAGGTTCTGCCTTTATGTAGAGAATGAGGAATGAATCAGATGTTAATTATCTTCAGTGAGGTTTTCTTAGCCCCTTTCCCAAATGCAAGATAGGTGGTAGCTTTTGTCAGTGTAGTATACAAGTGAGGAAGACTAAGTTGTCAATTATGGCTTCTTCATTAAGCTGCTCAGTCAAGGGTGGATGAGTTTCTTGCAGTGAAGTAACTTACACTCAGACTCCCTCCTATTTATCCAAACGCTGGCTGGGAGCTTTATTTAGGCTCACTCACGTGTCTGTACATTGTATTGCATACCAGTCTAGACAGCTATTTATGATCTATGACCCATACTTGACCAAACTGGCACATAAATACCAATAATTGTCCCAAAACATTTTCTGTTTACTCTCAGGGTCTTGTTCATCATCTAAACTCCTTGGCTCCTGAAATACAGGGTCATGCCAGTTGATAAGAACTTAAGTCTCTTAGATTTGTCTCCATTTTGACTTAATGGACACAAGTTCATTCTCCTGTTACCTCATCACCGCCCTTAATGTTAAGATGCTCTTTATGCCAAGGACTTACACCCTGACAGGTTTCAATCACATCCCTTCCAGAGCTTGTCTCAAAAAAGTCATCACCATATTAATTCATTTAACAAGTCTTTCCCAGGTACCACACAATGTGTGAAGTGCTGAAAGTCCACTACTGTTTAATCCTCAAAAGACCCTCATTATGAAAGTGTTATTATTTCCACTTAACAAACGAGGAAGCTGAGGCACAAATGGACTAAATATCTTGCTAAAAGCCCACACACAGCTTCCAAGGGGAAGATTCTGAGGTCAAACCTAGGTTCCTAGAACCCCGAAGCCCATGATGTCACCACTGCATATATTTATTTTGTGATTATCATGATGACAGGGGTTCCAAATGAAAACCTAGAGACTATTGGTCTCAACAGCAAAGTCTTTGGGACTTTTAATCAACTGTATTTGACCAATACTTCCAATAACAATGGACAAACATCCCTTTTATTTCTGATATTTAAATTAGGAAGTCCTCTCTCTTTCTACTGAGGCAATAATAAAACCCTACTAATAAGAATTTTTCCAGGGGCATGCTAACTGATTAATTCTGAAGACCTGATTTAACAGCAGATCAATTAGAACGTTAAAGCATGTTTGAGGAATATAACCCTCCTGCCAAATTTTGCTCAACAGATCATTTAAACCCACTGACACATTTGGAGTATTCTGGTAGCTTTCCAACATTTCTGCAGAGTAAGGATCATCACATAAGGGTAGCGTCTTAGCATGTTTTACTTGGAGGTGTTGTTTTAGACCCAGTATAAAGGTTTGTGTGTACATTTGAGGTGTTCCCATTCATCTATGAGTGGTTTCTGGTGCTTTGTTTATGTTTGGGAGTAATTTGGTTAGTTCAGTCCCTTCATAGTGTCCTTTCAAGTGATATTTGTTTATCAGCCACAAATGCAGTCACATTAATCCATTTTGATAAGCTAAATAAACCCCTGCAGTTTGTCCACGATGTAGCCCATATGTAAATGAGTTGTATATTCTTGCAGGAGAGACATGTACAATTTCAGTCTAGTCATCCTTGCCTAATGTGGCTGTCAGGTGTGTCAAGAGCAACAGATGCTTGTTTGACAAAGGACCTTTTTATTCTGGCTAATTAAGCAGTTGGACACACCCGCCTGTTAACGGTTCTGCTTTGTACAGCCAGCTCTGGCTGAATCATGTGAATCTACAGCTAAATAGGCCACATTTTGAAAGAAGGCTAATTAACCTCTAGGAGAAGGAAAAGAATATTGAAAAAAACCCAGCTGCTGAATGCGGCAAGATTAGCATTTCTTCAACCTGATGGGCAAAACCTAGGCAAAGCAAATGTGTTTGGAACAAACATGCATTATTGCAAGTTCCAAGGCATTCAAATGCTCTTTGTGGAACTTCCTGAAGATTATTTAATACACTCAAATTCACAGTTGGATTCCTTTTATCACACACAATGTACACGCCAGATTAAATGGTTTAATAGTCTGACCTAATCAATTACTTATCAAACAGCACTATATTGCTGCTAGCTTAAAAATAGGTAGTATCCATCTAATTTTTACTGAGGTTTTTCATACTGAAGTAGTCTGCTCTCCAAAAAAAGCAAAGTCTGTGAAGTTTAGTTCTACTATACCAACTACCTTTTTTTGGTTTTTTGCACTGAGGAATGTAACTAATTCAATATAGAAAATAAGACATGTAATTTAATTTTCAAGCACAACAAAGACTTTCCTTTTCCTTAGTAAAGAAAAATAAATGTTAATTTCAATTCCTACTTGAAACAACCAAAATTATGATGAGTCACTTAACAGATGTAGTAAAAATAAATCACATCTAAATGAGATGTTCAACAGTAAGTTTTACTTAGAAACCTGTTTCAACATAAAAGCATAGGAATGCTATTCACAGGAGAAAAATTTTGTCATAATTCAAAATTAGTATTTTTGAAATAGAGAACAAGGAGTTTAACACTGATGTGCTTTTACCAGAGGAAGATCCCAAATCATAACTGAAGTATGGCAGTGTAAAATTTTTATTACTAAAAACTCTGATTAAGCATCAGCATTATTGAATGTTAGAAAATAATTATTAATATACGTAATGGCTATAGCAATTGAAATCTCTATTAAAATTAGACAACTAAAATAAGCCATTCGGGGGAGAGGGAAAGGTGGGGGAGTTACTAGTATATACTTTCCTGAACATAAAATTAATATAAAATGTATACATTTCTGACTATTTCAGATGATAAAAATATTCAGATTATTCCAATTCTTTAAGAAAAACCAAAATATTAAGCAACTTTCAAAGTTAATAAATATAAAATAATGAGGCATTATAGAAATTTCATATATATGATTAAAAAATCATGAGAAA